ACGCCTATCTATGTCCTATAATGTTTTGTATTGCAAGCAGGGGGCTGAAACAAATTATTATCTGACAATTTCGTTTCTAATTAATGTGGCGTCGGCCCTCTAGGCTAGTGGTTCGTTTAGGCTACGGACTCTCAATCGTTAGGTTGCAGGTCGGGGGTTCGAGCTACAGGCCTGACGTTGTGTCCTTGGGAAAAGCACTAACACGAATTTTTCTCTCTTCACCCAGGTGGGAATGAGTACCCGCGGGGACTGAGAAGGCGTAGGTACCCGGCCATAGACAGCGAAAGATCTTGTCAGTTTATAATTTTATTATGTTATTGTCTTATTGCCCATGAAATGGCACGCACGGTATGCTTCGTGTCTGTAGTAAACTTGCCGAGAAAATGGCCATCAAAATTTAATGACTTCCAAAGTTTAAGTGTCAGTGGAAACTGCAAATTTACTTTTTTGCGCCTTTTATTAACGTTTTTAAATTTTAAAAAATTCATACATAAATGTGTTTTAAAGTGCCCATTGGCCAGAAAAATGACGGTCTCTTTGATTCCATCATTTCGACGAGCGCCTGATTTTACCATGAAGCCTCACCGCTACTCCAAGCACCTGTCACTCTTACAATAATCAATAGCACAACCAACGCCTAACGCCAATGACATTCCAGTGGCACAGCAGGTATACACAACTCACTTTTACAACAATCAATGTTATTACATGTATAACACCCAGCCCGGTCTGTTAGCACCGGCACGCGAATGATGTACCAGTGGCATAGCAGCAAGTATGTAGCTGTGGCTTTCGCAATAATCCGTTAGTTAGATCTATGTCAACAAGTCCCCCAAACGCGATTGCATTTGGAAAGCAGCAGCTGCAGGTCTTGCGCTAAATCAACAACAACAACAACAACAACAACAACAACAACAACAACGACAATATCAACAATAACAACAACAACAATACCAAAAGCAACAACAGCTACATGTAAATGTAGGCCCCTATACATGTATTTTATTTGTCTTTATCTAGTCAGCGTTTATCACCACCATCACCACCAACAACAACAGATATGTAAATACACATTTATTTCTCTCTATCTAGTCAACATTTACCATTAACCCGTTCGCTGCCCGGCCCAAGACTCTCTCGGGCTCTCTGGTTGGAATAAAAGTGGAAGCCAATTCCTATGTTACATACATATTTTGTTAAAAAGCACCCGACCATTCTATGTGGCTTGGTGTCATTATGTGTCTGTGGAAGGGCAGGGAAATGGGGAAGATGGTGAATAATCCTTACTCCTAACAAATAAACCCTTCACATCCTGCTCCAAAACCTCACCCCACCCCCC